TTTTTTTTTTTTAATACGGAGATATTTCTCTGGCAGGACAGAGCAATTACACAATTTAGTGCAATTAATTTATTAATTAAATTATCGATTAAATCAACTACTAGTACAAAATATCTAATTGCGTTATATCCGTATCTTCGTACGTCAGATGTCGATCTATTCACTTGCTCCAGTATTTTTTATTGTAGTCGCAATTGAACAAGTCCGAGAATTTCATTAAATCTCCTAGCATTTCGAGTTTCTTGCCACTTCTTAATAGCACTATGAACTGATGAAAACGTCCGTCGTAAGACCAGAATTTAAGATTATAGGCGGATTTCCTAGATTAAACGTTGACGTTACGCCCTCGCGCAGGAAGTTTGTCCAAGGAATATTCAGGAAGTTGCCTTGAAAATATTCGTTACACCTTAGCACATACTTCCCTTCAGAGAAAGAAATTGAAATTTACACGTCACGTTGCATTAACTGCGGAAGGAAGAGTGGCTTTGAAGCCTTTCGTACAAATTACAACTCTCGTAATCCTCGAACCGTGGAAACCGTTCGAGAATTTTCGTATTTCTTCATCGCGGAATAAATATTTACATTTCGTTCGCACGTTTGATAAACAATGCCAATGTCAAGAAATAATTTATTCGACTGTTCATGAAACAAATTTCGCCTATTTCGTTTCTCCGCTGAAAACTAAAGTTGAATGATTATGTCAATTATACGTCCACACATCGCTTGTTCGTTAATTAAGAGTTGCCGATACGCGTGAAATTTTATTATATTATTCCTGAATCCTATTACATGTATAGCAGTTAAATAGGATGAAATATATTGTTAAGGTTAATTTTCCAACCCTTAGAACATTTGGTGATTTCGTATGAAATAGAATTCCTAGATTACCAGTAAATCGATTCAATGTATTCGTTCATTCATCGTTCATAAATGCTTAGACATTTGCAAAATCTTAATAACACTTGTTGCACAGACTAATATCAAATTGAACCGACGTGACATCCAAGCTCTCTGTCAATCTTTCATTGCTTAGACAATGGAAACGAGGCGCCGTTCGTTCCAGTAGCGGCACACGAGTCTTAATATATTATTAATAGCAATCGAAAGGACCTAGCGTATAGTTGGTATCCTTATTAACGCGATATATTTACGTTAGGATCAGGCACCGTTAGTATCTGGAGTCTGTTCGGGCGAAAAGGGTGTCCATTACCGGTTAGGAGGAAGATTGATACGTTAAGAAAGAAAGCGGGTTAGCGTCTAATTCGAAAGCGGTCGAGCTGCCGTACCTTTCGGGATCCCTTTCCCATCAAATACCCGGCATCGACGTTACAGGAATTCGTTCGGCCGGCTACAGTCGCGGTAATTTCATTTCGTTCACACCGGCTCTTTTCGCAGGCTGCCTCCCCCGTGTTCGTTGACTCGTACGTATTACTCCGTTGCCGGCGGTCTAGCAGAATTGTTTTTACGAAATTGACTTTTCCCTCGGCCTTCTCCCGGCCGAACAAAGCGTCCTTCGGGAAGAAAATCTATTGGCCTTTCGTTTAATGCTCGTCCCACCCACCCTCCCTCCTCCTACGAAGACGCTTTCCACTTCGGCTACCACCTTTTATTATTACGTTTCAATATTCCGACGTGCGTTTAATCGCATTATCGGCCCCCTGAACTTCGAGTAGCTTCTGCGGGATCCGTGGAAAATGCTTTTTGGATAATCTCGTGTAACCATTAGCATATGATAATATGCGAAGCCGTACAGTGCGACGGGATGGGAAAAGTTCGTGAAACGAAAGAGAATGGAAACAGCGCGAACACACGTCTAATGAGATGACAAATTTTTGAATTACATTAATTTTATTCTCTTCTGTGTTCGGTATAAATATTTTCTACGTGGCCACTCTTGACCGATTTATCCATGCGAGTATTATTCATTGTTTCAACTGTTTCTATTTTTTTTTTTTTTTTTTTTTTTTTTCGAGATTATTCTAAGACCTTGCAATTCAAAATCAGTCGGCGTGGATTCATCGTATGTAAAATTTTAAAAGAAATACTTTTCACAGGAATCTTAATACCTACGTGTCCCAGAATTTTCCCAGGTCTCAGTGTTTTACTAGTTTAGTAAAGTAACGTAAAGTAATATAATATATTTTTTCATATTTCAGTTAATCTTTAAACTGTATTTTAATATCATACACCTTGATAATTCCTGAGCTACCAAATTATGTATACCCGTTACGATGATCATTCTATGGTAGAAATTTAATCGATAATCGGCTTGAAGACAGTTTGGAATTAATTTAGAAAGTTCAATGAACATAAGCTGTTCACAAATACGGCGAAACGGATTAGATACGGCAACTTTGAAATGTCATCATCCCGTGTGCCTCTCCATTGATCTCAACCTCTATTGATACCAGCAGAATACCTAGTATTTGGTTTTCGTACGCATCGCGTTCGCAGTCGATAACACATGCTAGTTCTATCGGCATGAAAATCCACCAATTACCGTTTCCATCGACGAGCGCGATATCTATTCATTAAATTTCAAGCTTTCCCAATAGACACGCACTATCGTCGTACTACCAGCGGCGTGCGTTTGTCAGTTCCAATTCGGTGTGACGAAACACATCGAATCCGTTTGTGGAAACATATCGCACATAAGGCATAAATTACTGTACGATTATTTATTAACGAATAGAACAAGAAAGAAGAACGTTCCATTAAGTTAAATTGTTAAAATGTTACACGTTCCCCTTTTACTCCCAAGATAATTTATTTTCCGTCCCGGTTGAACTCGATCTGCGTTGAAATGTTGAAAAAGTCACACAAACTGGCTAGAGAATGATGAACAAAGTTAATACTGAAACCATTACGTTCACGAAGCTTCACTGAATTGCGTGATTACCTATCCATTAGAAGCTTAACCCTTGCATCGTGTGAACTTACCTTATCCTTTGTAATATTGCCTCGTATGCCAGTTGGAAAAATTTGACAAAAATATTTCAAACATTCCAAGTTTACTCACGATTATCGTGAAGTTTTCTACAAACATGGTACGACGGATTGGACAAAATTTCCAAAAACTCGTCAGAATCTAAAGTGCCGGTTCGACTCGGCTCGTCGTGCCCGTAATAGTCAGTTTAGGTGACAAGTGTACACAGTAACCGCAAACCTTGAGACAAGACAACGTAATAACATCGCGCGTTAACATGCGCGCGCGCATGTGTGTTCCAGTGACCTCCGAGAACGGAAGCGAGACACCTACGGCCATCTATTTGACGATGCTGATGCTGTGTATGCTGCAGCTGTTCCTGAGATAGTCACGATACGCCTGAGGCTGCGGAAAGGGAGTCCATGGGCGTCGCATGATAAACAGCGCACTAGTCAAAAGAAGAGGCAGGAGGAGAAAATGGAAGGAGGGTAGTTTAAGGGCTGGCCGAACCGGCGGCGGGAAACCAAATAACAATATTGTTGAATCGGCATTGGTATCACGTGTTCTTTTAGCCTATTCGGTTCCGGTTTCGTTCGTGGAGGAACGATCGCGAAAATACCACCGCTTTCATTGTTAACACTCGTCTACGTCGTACGTCCCCGA